GGCCCACAATTGTCTTATGCTCCTAAAAGCTATTCGTCCTTCCCCTGCTCCAGCGGGGCCCTGCCACGGGACATGGTTCTGCATGAACTTCTCCCATGGCACGGGAGACTGGTGCAGCAATTCCTGCAGCGTGAGTCCATCCCTGGGGCACGGCTCTGCACAGGTGCTGTGGAGAGAGGAGAGCGGGGAATGTGGCAGCGGTGTGGGAATATGGGGAGAGAGATGAGCGCGGGGAACGTCCCAGCCGTGTGGGAATGTGGGGAGAGAGGAGAGCGGGGAACATGGCAGTGGTGTGGCAATGTGGGGAGAGAGGAGAGCGGGGAACATGGCAGCGGTGTGGGAATGTAGGCAGAGAGAGGAGAGTGGGGAAGATGGCAGCGGTGTGGGAATGTGGGGAGAGAGAGGAGAGCGGGGAAGGTGCCAGCGGTGTGGGAATGTCGGGAGAGAGAGAGCGGGGAACGTGCCGAGGTGTGGGAATGTGGGGAGAGAGAGGAGCGCGGGGAATGTGCCCTCAGGGCCGGGCCGCGGGGCGGGGCGGAGCGCAGCCATGAGCAGCCCGAGGCGGAGGCGGAGCTGCGTGGCTCTGTGGCTCAGCGCTTTCCGCCGCTGTCTGGGTGGGTCGAAACCCCGCGGGTTCAAGGCAGGTTGGAGACACTGAATGAGAGAAGATCAGTCTGCGGCTTCGGTGGCAGACCCGTCCCTTGAGCCTGCTGAGAAGAGGAGTGGCGAGATCGCGGCCGCGTGTGTGAGCGAGCGCCGCGGGATCCCGGCTCAGTTCCGCCGGGGTATGGCTGGCCGATGGTAAAAGCGCCCGAGTTGAAATGAGGGAGAGCCGAGAATCTCAGCAACGCAAGACTGCAAAGGGTCCAAGTGCTCTGTCCAAGCGGGAGCGGCACCGACCAAACTGAACTCACTCAGCTCAGCTCCTGCGCCGGACGGGCACTTCTAACCTACCGCCCTGGGAGGTGAAAATCTCCCTTTTCCTCACTTCTCTTTCACTAATCCACTCTTTTCTCCCCCCCGCGTCCCTTTTTCTCCACTGCGGACTCACACCTACCCCATGCCACAAACCCAGGCGCTCAGAATCAAACCATCGCTTCTCTTATCCTCTTCTTTCTCCTCTTCAAACCTCTGTTCTTTCCACTTTTATTTCCCTATAATTATAATTGATAAGACCCACGAGACTTTTTGCTGGTTGCCCGCCCCTTTATTTCTGTATATGATGAATAAACCTACAAAAAAAAAAAAAAAAACCAAAAAACAAAAAACAAAACAAAACAAAACCAAAACAAAAAAAAAAAAAAAAAAAAAAAAAAAAAAAACAAAAAACCCCCAAAAAAAACAACAAAAAAAACCAAACCAAAACATACCCAAAACAAACCAAACCAAAACAAAACAAAACCTGCGGCAGAGCATCAGAAGACAGCAAACATACCCCAGAACCCATCCAAACCACCTTGTGTTTTCAAATGCCAAAATGATCCTGTGTCCACGACAAGCTGTTGTTGTTGCAGTTTTGTTCCAACAAATAATCGCATGAGCATTTCACAGTGGGCAGTTTGCTTTTGCTCCCAGCTTGACTCTTTAGGAAGATTACTCCTGAAATATTTTCCAGAAAACTCTTTGAACTCTGCGAAGAACAGCTTAAATTAACAGCAAGTTGCAAATTGGTCAAGCTGGAGTACAGTTTTAGTGAAAATTCTATCTAAAATATTTTGTCTTTTACAGTTTTTTTCCCCCATCTGCCTCCTCCACACTCTCGCTGGACTTTTCCCACATGTTGTATCCCAGCACTGAAATCCACAGTGCCCTTTGCATTTCCTGAGGCTGCAGCACTTCTACACATGAACTTGTTCTTGCAGAGCCTCCCGAGCTAGCAGTGCTGCCCTAAAATGCCTCCCGTGGCTCTGCTGAACATCTGCCCTCTCTTGCTGTCGGTGCATTTCCACTTTTCCCTGCCCTTCCCAGCGCATTTCTGCTTGCAATCTTCTTTTTCCTTCCTGTGGGCTGCACCAGTCTAGTGTCTGTAATGCTTATCCTGCTGTAAAGCCTGGAAGCTGCTACTATTTCCTCTGTTTTAGGAGTCAGCCTTTTGTCCCTGCCTGCCTGTCCTCACCTTCATTTGTAGCTTTATTTTTTTTTTTTTTTTCCTGTCCTGGATTTTTTTAACACAGTTTTAACTCTCTCCCTTTTTATTCCCCTTCCTTTTTTTTTTTTTTTTTTTTTTTTTTCCCCTTCACACAGTGTTGTATTCTTGATATTTTTTGTCTGCAGGGACCAGGGGATCACCTGTAAAGTTAATGGAAGAGTTAATGAGGGAATGTAGGAATGCAGGAGACTGCTATTTTTAGCATACTTCATCTTATGTAATAATTTTTTTTTTTCCCTGTGTGGTATCAAAATAGATACCAAAATACCAAATAGAACTTGGTTTCTGATAAACCTGTTCTATGTCTCAGTGTTTTACAAGAAACCCCTGTAGATACTGATACTGCAGCCACCATGATAAAAATAAATTCTGGGGATCTGGTCATTTACACTTGCTCAGGAAAAACTCTTGTGGAAGGCAGCACCTTGGTACCACAAACTTCTCATGGACAGAGCTGAAACTTGGTTTGTGCAGCAAATTTCAGGACTGTACAGCTTTTATGTTGCTTTCCTGGCTTCTCTCTCAGCCTTTAGGAAGTTAAAACAGGATAGAAAACATTGTGCTGGGTCTGTATCACACATTCACTAGGATCAGGGTATGGCTTCCTCTCTCTCTAGTTCCACTTCAAAGTTAAAACTATAAGATATAAAATTATATTTATTATTATATATATTATTATTATTTTAAGATATAAAATTATATCTTTAAGTATTTTTTTCCTACCCTGTCAATGCTTTAAGCATACACATAAGTATTTCATAGCCCTTTTCACCTCCTGTATGGAGAGAATGCAGCTTTTGCAATGTTCTAAGGGAAACTACAAGCTTGAATAATTGTGGGTGCTACAAACACATGCTCCAAATCAAGTTAATTAAAACCCTGGGAATCCTCACTGGAAGAATGCATCATAAATTCTCTTAATTCCTAATATTGGGTGATAATTGTCTTTAAAATGTCTACTCAAACACAGTTTAAGCCTTCAGTGAGGACTTCTGGATGTGTCCATCCATGTTTGAGTGATATTCCATAGCAGGTATATATTTCTTCCCCAATAAATGAGTTATAAGTAAATAACTTTCTGCAACACCTAAGGACTGAACCCAAGGCTGAGCTTAGAGTCCCCACACTATTCCTTGCCAAGGGTTGCAGTGGATGGTGAATTTGCACATTTCCAAGGGGGAGTCTTCCCTCGTGGAAGAGATTCCCACTGAGGGTTATTAGCACATTCTGGAGACAATCACGTCAGGAAATCCTTGAGCCAAGAACAGCTGTGGGCTGGGAGAGCATCAGGGAGACATTTGATAGAAGCCAAACCTGTGCTAGAAGCACTTGTTTGTGCATCCATCTGACAGCCACTGCCAGGAGGGAGGACACTGCAGGGCAAAGACCACAGCTGACCTGGCACAGATGTTCTGAGCTGCAGCTCCCTCCCTGCAGCGCCGTGCTGCCTGTGGTAAACACAGGAATAAAATACTTACCTGCCTGCCAGGGGCTTTGTGAGGCTTATCCCATGTCTGCGCAATGCTACATGAGTTCAAACCACTCTGGGAAGCTCTCTGATTAGAAGATTCCTCTCAGATTATGAACTCCTGTATGTCATGTTTGGTAGTTGCTTTGAAACCAGTTCTCAGACCACTGCTGTATTTTATCCCCACTTTCTGCTGCTTCCAGAGGAATTGAGAGGGAGCCTCAGCACACACCTAAAACAGTCCCAGCAGGAATGGGAACACTCAGATGGCTGGTGGCTTTTTCAGCATCTGGTTTCTTGGGGCAGAGCTTTTTGTCCCCAGGTAGCACAGCCAATGAATCCACCTGCCAGCCTAGTCACGGATCCAGAATCAAACCAGCAGAGCCAGCACAGCCCTAATGCCATGTGAGCACCTCTGTGAGCACCTCAGTGCCCGAAAGGAGGTGTCAGAGGATGGACCTGCTCTGCTCCGTGGTGCCCAGCAATGGGATGAGAGCAATGGGCAGAAGCTGATGCCCGGGAAGTTCCACCTGAACTCGAGGAAGAACTTTATTCAGCAGTGACCAAGCACTGGACAGATTGTTCAGAGAGGGTGTGGAGTGTCTTTCACTGGAGATATTCCAGAACTATCTGGACACAACCCTGTGCCATGTGCTCTGGGATGACCCTGCTGGAGCAGGGGGTTGGACCTGGTGACCCACAGTGGTCCCTTCCAGCCTGCCCATTCTGTGATTTAGTGATTGTGTGACCTCGCTGAAATGCAGGTCTTTGGTGTGAGGAGTAAATTAACGCAGAATGTGACTCAGTGACAACTTTCCTTCTTCATCATTCCTGTACTACAATGGCTTGCTCACCAATCAGTGGGTAGGGGTCCCAGGGCCAGAAGGGCGTGTTTGGGCAGAACGAGCACCACGGCCACCAGCGGGCTGGGGACACGCTGCCCACCTTTCCCAGAGCCGAGGGGCGCCCCGACCCCGCCGCTCTCCCCAATCCCCGGTAGGGGCGGGCCGGGGCGGGGGCGGCCCCATCTCCATCCCGGCCCGCCCGCCTCCCGCATCCCGGCGGGGCGGAGAGGCAGCGCTGGAGGGCTCCTCCGCCGGCAGCCGGGCGGGCAGCGGGCACATGGCATGTCTGATGGCGGCTTTCTCCCTGGGCAGCGCTTTGGTAAGGCGTGCCCTGCCTGGGCTGCGGCCGGGGGGCGAGGTGCGGGGCTGGGGGACGGAGATGGAGCGACAGAGACGCTTCCCGAGGGAAAAGCAGGGTCGGAGGGTGCAGGGGGCAGGATGGGGGCTGAGATGCGGGATGCGGGATGCAGGGTGCGGGATGAAGGATGAGGGATGAAGGATGCGAGCGGCCGGCGGCGCACGGGGAGACTTGACCGCTGGTTACCTCTGTCTGTAGCTAAGGCGGGGGGATTATCGCCGAGCATGCTCCCTGCGCCGCTGCGCCCCGCCGGCTTCCCGGAGGATTTGCGGAGGGACCGTAACCTTTGCATAACAGCCGGGGCCGGCGGGGGACGGAGCGGGCAGAGCCCGCGGGACCGTCCTGCCGCCGCCACCGGGCGAGGCTGCCGTCCCCATCGGCTCCTCTGGGCTCCATCCGAGTAGATGGGAAATAGCCCAAAGTGCCCCAGAGCAGCGGAGAGGTGAGCGCGGAGCGGGGCACGGGTCGGGATGCGGGGCTGGGGCATCGCTGGCGGGTGGCAGCGGAGAGCGGAGCGCTGCAGGTGCTGGGGCAGGTGCGGAGGGGTTCAGGTGTGTCTGTGCCCTACACACGGCTTGGACAAGTCCGTGGCTGTCCTAGCCATGGGATTGCCCAGTTTTTTTCCAAGCGAAGGTGATGCCGGTACCGGGAGGGTTTGGATCACCCCAGTTGCTCGGGTGGACCATAGCGGTTCGGTCCACAGAGTGACTAAAATTGGTTAATATCCCAGTAACAAAAGTCTTTGGCTTCATCCTCTCAGCTGATTGAGTAGTCAGAGGCAAGGGTCTTGTCCAAAGGATATTTCTTTTTGAACCAATGTAAACTGGAGAAGCTCTGACTGTCACCTGAATTATCAAGGTGACCTGCTCATTCAGAGTTCATTTTTGGATATTCCCTCTGATTGTGTGAAAGCCCCCAGTGCTTCCTCGGAACAAAACAGATTGTGAATGCCAAAGTCAGCCTTGAAAACATTCAAGAATATTGTTAACTCACCTTCTCTTAGTTTTTAGGGAAGTTCCCCTGCTTTAATTGTTGAGCTCTAAGATGTTTCACATTACTCTTGTTATGTTCAAATTACATACCGTGGCAGTCAACTATTTAAGAATTTGACAGTAAGTGTTACTGGATACCTGACCTCTAAGTAAGTTGAGAGCATGATTAAAATCTCTTTCTTGAGAAAATATGGTGAGCAGAGCTGATTATTTTCATCCAGAACTGGGGGCTTGTGCGTGAAGAATGTGAAGATGCCAGGTATGGAGTGGTTAAGCAGGAGCACATTTTTTTTTTTTTTTTTCATCAGTGATTATGTAGGACTGGAGGTTTTTTAAATGTTTTTGTCAGCATTCATGACAAGTGACTGATCTGAGCTGGGCTGCTGTTACAGCAAAGACAGGAAGACCAGGAACCATGAGAGGGAAATGGAAGTGGCAAGAGGAGGCAGTGTCACTTCTTAGTTGAATTAGACAAATAGAGGGAAACAGTGGCAGGATCTGCAGCTCTGTTTGTGTTCATGCATTGAAAAGTAGTGCAGCACATCTGCTTTCCAAGAGATAACTTTGTATTACGTGTCAGCATGGAAAGCCTGGCACTTAAGCCATCTACAGAAGTCCTTTCCAATACAAATCTGCATTAAAAATACTAAATTTCTTAATAGACAACTGTGCAGATGTTTGGCTCTGCTTATGACATCTACCAAACAGCAGGTGACAGCAAACAGCCTCTGACCTGTTCAAAATTCTGTTTAGCTGAAGAAAATTCATGACTGTTTTTCTTTTGAGCTTACACACATCCTGCTTATATTGGTGCAAGGCACCTGTGGTGGTAAAAGGAATGGAAAAACAAACCAAATTTTGTACTTATAATAAAAAAAAAGAAGAGAAAGGTGGGTGGAAGGCTGTTGTCATGGCCAGGAGGGGAGGGGAAGGAGGTTTAGTCAAAAAAGTGCCAAGTAGAATTGCACAGAGTGCTGTGATAGGCAAAATATAGCAAGAGGGGTGGCTGTGAGCAGAGGACATTGACCTTACAGTGTCAGTGGTGCAAGAACTGGAGCAGGGTTTGTGTGCTCATGTAGCTGATAAGATTTCCATTAGTTATCACTATCAAGCATGGAAAACACTCAAGGATTTTGGGTGCAAAGCATTGTACTTTCCTAAAAGACCTCCAGAAAAGAACTTGTGCTGTTGTCCCAGGTTGCAAACTCTCCAGAACTATCAGTGCAGGAGAAAATAAGACATGAAACAGTACATTTGAAAATTTGCAGAAATATAATTTCACCTTTACAGATGCATAGGCTGATCCAGAGGAGCAAGAGCTCTTGGACACTTTGAGTGGCTGTCTTTTGAAATGTCTGCACAAGTGATTGTTCAGCCAGATCCCTTCCCCCTTCAGCTGTGTCCCAAGTCCTTGAATCAGAGTAACTAGAACCAAATTCCTTGAGTGCATGAGAAACCAAATACAATGGGGACTGGACTTATAAAAGTATTAATCTGGTGCAAGATCTGAAAGAAAAACTAGTGCTAAAGGAACTGTATGTGCTGCAAGAGCTCTTTTACCTCTTCTGTCAAGACTCAGGCAAAAGAACAAACAAAAGATTGCTTTATTTTACTCCTCTTTCACCTTTCAGTGCATTACAACACTAAGGAATAATTCCTCTGGTGCAGAAGGTTTTGAAACGTGTTCCTAAACAAAAGTCTGTGAACTTTCTCCACTTTCCCTGCAGGGTGGCAGCAGTTCTGGTTGCACCATGGCCGAGCCAAAGTCTGTGTGTGTTTCTGTGGACGAGGTGGTCTCCAATGGCACAGACACCCAGGACATCCGACTCATCAATGGACACTTAAAAAAAGTGGACAATGCTCTGACAGAAGCTCACAGGTTCTCCTACCTGCCCCGCAGGCCAGCTGTGAACATTGAGTTTAAAGAACTGTCCTACTCTATCCAGGAAGGGCCATGGTGGAGAAAGAAAGGTGAGGAAAACAAGGTTTCATCCCCAAGAAGCTGTAGATGCAGCAGTTCATACAACTGCTCATTTCTGCCTCCCAATTCTTAAGTATCTGAAGTAAATATAGTATTGCTGTGCTGCCAAATATCTGTCCTGTGATCTTGCCTGTCTACAATTTATTGTTGAGGGTGGGTAGAGCATGCAGGAGTTTAAAGATGGGGGTGGGGGAAGTGAGGAGGCTTTGTTTTTTTACTCCTGCAGTTGGCTGTTTTGTGAAATGGTTGTTTTTTCAGTACTCTTTCAGAACAGCGAGTGTCTCAGAATTTCAGAAGGGATTAGACACCAGGATAAAAACTGTTTTCTTTAAAGGCTGTGTTTGGAAAGAAATGCTGTGAGCTGTAGGTTTCTCTACAGCTTAGATGGGTCTCTCAAAGTTTGTAATTTCTGTGATGAAATCACTGGCTCCTGCTGGGAATGCATCCTGAGGTTCAGTCAAGGACCAGGATCCTCTTTGGGTAACTCCTTTGCTGCTACACCCTGCAAAGAATTCATAGCCTGCAACACAGAGCACCAAAATTATAGATTGGGCACGTCTCAAGGAAGAGAAAAGTTTGGAGTAAGAAGGGATTATTCAGCTTTCTTCTCTATAGGTTCTTGGTTGATTCCAGTTCTAAAAGGTGTTTCTGTCCTTTCCCCTCTGCTTGGCATCAATTCCTTTCATGCCTTCATTTCGTTTGTGTAACCATGTGTTTCCTAGAGAGTTTTTGTGGGTTTTCTTGGGTTTTTTTTTTTGGTGTGTGTGACTAGTCCTCTCTGAAAGGAAAACTAGGTCATGCAGTAAATTCCTGCCAGCGAAAAGAAGAATGCCCAAGAGAAAAATATTGAAATCTTCAGGAGAATTTTGTGTACTAAGTGACATATTTGCCTTTCCTCGAGGAATTCTCTCCCAGTAATGTAAATTGGTATGATTGTGTGCTTTAGTTCTTTTTAGAGATAAGGCCCTGCCAGTGGAGCCCTCACCTGAGGCATACTTGATACCTGCACTGGCCCTGAAACTCTAAATCCACTGGCTTAAAGGTTCTACTTGAAATTGTTTCACAAAGTACTTGGCTGCCATCTGTAAATTGTATCATTATCACAACACCAAGGCTTCAATAGTCTAAAAATGTGTGGTATGAAAAGCTCTGGAGCTGTTGCCATGAAAGTGCTACTGTATGCGGACAGGCTGTGCATACAATTATTCATTTGTTGAAAGATCTGCAGATTTCATGCTTTAATGGGTTTTTCAACATCAAAACTGTATGTAGAGCCACTGGCCTTTATTTTAATTACTTGCTAAAATTGCATAGAGCCACATTGTCCATAGAAGAACAACTTGGTTTGGCAGCAACTTTGGTACATTCAAAATTATTCTTTATCTTATCAGAATGAACACAAAACACTGAGGTTTTTTTGTCCTCCAAGAAATGGAGCTATGCCAAAATATCTCATTTAAGGTTTAAAAGCTTGAGATTTCTTACTGAGTCTCTTTCTCCCTGACCAGAATTGACTGAGGGGTCCTATACCCAAAACCCCCTGGACAGAGCCCCCAGAGACACTGTCTGTGATCTCTGTCCATGGAAAAGAGTTTTCAATCTTACAGGATGAATTACAAGCTCTGAATGTTTGATATCAGTAATAATTAAGTGTGGCATGGGTGCAAAAGTAAAATTTTAGGATTCTAGATTAGGGGTCCAAAGGGGACAAGATGGAGGAAATTGGGTGTGTCTTGTCCTTTTCCTCCTTATTCATGCCCTCCATGTTTCACTGTGGTGTTGGCATTTTTCTGTTGGTTTAGGCTGGGGACACACTGTCCAACGTAGGTGACAGATATTGGCACGTTATTGTAAATCCAGCACAGGTAGTTTCTGGTATTTAATGTTTGTAACATCCCACTGAGGGCAGAGCCCCACACGCTGCCCTGCAGGACAGAGCTGCGGCAGGGCAGCAGAACATGTTAGAGATAAACAGAATAAACAACCTTGAAACCAGCACAGACGAATTATGGCTTCTTCTTTGGCAGCGGGGCAGAAAGACAGAGACTTTCTACAATCTCAGAATCATCAATACCAACAGATTCTGACACATATCAACAGAGATATGAAGCTGTAAAGGGTCTGTCAAAGGGGTAAAAAAAATGGTTCAGGGGACCTACAAAGAGCAGCTGAGGAGTCTGGGCTGCTCCTGCCAATCGTGCCTGATAATAAATAACAGGAGCCCGTGACCACACATCGCAGTTTGGGTGGTTTAGGGTGGACACCAGGAAATAAATTCCTGTTCCCCAGCTGCAGCACTGGGATGTGTCACCCAGGGACACAGGGAGTGTGGGGCACGTGGCTGAGCTGCTGATCTGATCTGGAGCTGGTGCTTGTCTTACTTTGAGTGTAAGGCTGGGCCAGGTGACCTCCAAAGGTCTCTTCCTTCAGTGTTTCAGTGAATTGCTGGTCAGATTATAGAAACCTTCTAGACCCAAACTTTCTTCCCAGCCATGCTCTCTCCTCCAGGGACTAGCTCAATATATTGGTTTTAAAAGAAAATATTTTCCACTAGAGAAATAGAAAACCAAACTTCCTAAACAGTCCCCAGCGAAGGTAGAACCAAACAGTTCAGATTCTTCGAGTTGTTTTAGTGGCTCTGCAAGTAGAAGATTTTTTGTGTGCAGTTTGGGATCTCTCTGTTCAAACCTGGTGGGTTTTTAGCTGAGTGCATTACATATAAAACTATTCTGAATACTTTACATTGGTTTCTGTTCCAGTGGGAAACTGGGACTTTGCAGTGCCCAAGAGAAGGGCAATATTGTGCCTCCAAACACTGGTGGTTGCTGCAGTTCAGCACTCCTTGTGGGTTCCCTGTGCTAACAGTCTCTCTCATTGCTGTAATGTGAAATATTTGAATTCACTTTTTATGAAAAGAGTAGCAGAAAACATGCTGGTGAAAAAAAGAAAGGAAGTGTCTCTCAGTTCACATTTTTCTTGGGTGCTGGTTGTGGTAGGAAGAGATAAGGAATGATGTTTCAAAAAAGTCTTTTAATTAATTGTGTTTCTATTCTGAAATGGAGCCTAAAAAAGAAAATCTACTATTTCTACAGCATTCTCTACGACTGTAATGAATTAGTTAAAACCTTTCAAGAGTGTTGGATCACAAAGGCAGAAGTACAGATTCCTTGCAAAGACAATTTGTGC